TATTAAGAATGCAAAATCACATACGGATTCCTTTTCTCAGAATCCTGGAATATATAGTGTCTTGCCACAAAATGAAAAGAAAAATGTGCCCATACACGTTGGTGTTTTTCAAAGCACACACATACGAATTGTTAAGTGTGTTCGTGTTCCTTCGAGCAGAGTACAACAGAAGGAGAACCATAACAAGGATGTAGATATGGTGAGGGGGATAGTGGTCGAGGTTGAACGTAGATTTGAATGGCGGATGGTATGAATATGGACCTTCTTTCTATATAAATCCAAATCCACACCCCACACCTCGCAATTATCAGTCCTTACGGAAGCGAGCTTATTAATGAAAATTGATTTCAATTTCTCTATCTATTGTTGACTACTATAAATTGCTTTTAGCAAACGATTCTCGAGCAGTCATTTAATTTTTATCTGCTTAGTGCAAATCTATTCAGAATCTACTGAAACTTTCTGATACGAACACAACTATTTTACATTTTTGTAATTGTTGTGCTCGATGAAATATTCTTATTTTGATTTATCACATTAATTAGTATACATAGATTATTGATAAAACAAGTTCTTTCGAAAGTATCTTTGATTTTAAGATATGTCTTCTTTCTAAGTACAGCTATGAAAACAGTTTTTCTTCTTATTAAAATCAAAAGGATAAACTTTCATGAGATGAGTCAAAAAGTATTATCAAACAATTCTCTTACATAAATTGAATGAAAATCTTTAATATAGAAATTATAATTTTTGACTAGTCTAGATAGTTACCGAAGGTTGATCTTACATAGTTATATTGAAATCATCTAATTGATCTTTGTTCAGTTGTACCATTGAACACATGACAAAAGCTCAACAAATTCTATATATATAAACTCATGAAAAGCTGAAGTCAGTCAATAATATTAATTGTCAATTCGCATATTCTAAAAGAGTGAGGGAATAATTCACTTAAATGATTGTTTGACATCCAAATGACTAATGAAAATGACGTACATGGCTGGCTGTTATACAACAGGTTGTACGGAACAAATATTTTATCAAAATGCGTTTTCCTTTTCTTGTCATAGAAAAAGTTGAATACGTGGACGTTAGATAAAGTTTGAAGCTGTTTTGCTTTCATCAATTTGATGCAGATGACTAAAACTAATAATACAAATTCGGTTAATTTGATTATAATAATACTTTTCTTATTGTCCATCTAGTCAATAAACGAAAGCTATATTGAAAAAAAATTAAAAACAAAAATATCAAATATTTGATCTGTGATATAATTAACTTTATGATTACATATTTTTTTCTTGAGAGCAAACGAAATGAAATAGACAACATGTTTAGTTCATGTTGTTTCTGAAATATTTGTCGAGAAATCTTCATGTTTTCGTTCTTCAGATTAAAGGTTTCAGTAGATATGCATAATATTGTTTTGTTTTAATACTCACACATGTAGTATTTCTAATCTCAATAAAATAAACAGTAAAAACTTCTCAAAATAGATTTAAATTTGTTCTATTGATATGATGATTACACCGTTTTTGTTCTATATGATATTTTGGGAATTATTTTTTTCTCATTTTTACTAACCGGAACCGGATTTGAAGCAGTGACTAGGTACCGATTCCAAATAATTTTTGGAACCATCGAATTCTATTATCTACTGCAAATTAAGACACTACTCGTTCACTTTCTCTGTCTCAGTATTTCAACAAAAAGAAAACAATCAAAACAAAACATAAATAGAAAACTGTATGCATGGATTTAAGTAGTGTTTTATGTTAGAGGTAACATCCTACAGGCACGCTTTTTTTCTCGTCATGTTTCTTTCGAAAATCGAGAACGGAAACGATATTGAAAATGGACATTCTAGAAAGTCGTTCTTTCCATGTAACTATTCTACAAACTTTATTCTTTCAAACAAAAACTATCGAAGTCAATCCACTATTACATTGTTAAGAAACAGATTTCGACATTCTTTCCATAGGCTGTTGTGTCGCTCATTAGGTAAAAGAACATAACAGATATTTATCAACAAAAATTAGATAATTTCATTGATTATTCATTAAAATTGCTCCTCTCTCCAAAACTCAGTTGTCGTGAAAAGCATGAAAATTGAGATAATTCAATGCATGGGAAAATAGCCCGATGTCTGGTCTTTCGTGCTCCTCGTTTCCACCAAAACCCTCCGTCATTTTCTGCTTGAAAATTAGGTTTTTCAGCATAAAATAGAAAACCTTTTTCGCTTTTGCTTTATTTATACTTTTCTTGATTGCGCATATCAGAATTCTCAAAGAAGTTTGATTGTAACCAATGACTCTTTTTGTTTGAAGGACTATATCAAAATGTAGGGCATAACAGAGTCCATTTTCTAAATTAAGCATTGTTACTATTATGTAAAAGAGTATATTTATGATTAGAGCGCCAATTTTTGAGAGTTCCTCGAGACGTTAATCTTTTCATCACTGTTTTTCTCTTAAAAAATAAGAATTTAAAACAATGAACTCTGTCATACCCTGTATCCTGACATGTTTTTTCAAACAAAAAACAATTAAGTCTATAAAACAAAAGCTCACAACAAATTTCGGGTTGCCAAATGAAATTTTATTGACCTATTTTAGCTGAGTATCTTGCGAAAACCCTATGGTATAGGATCAGAAATTTTGTCATAGCCTCTCCACGACAGCCCAAAACATGTCCTGAAATTTTCATGCAATTTGAATCTGTCTGAGCCAAGATCGATTTTTGACGAGGATGAGGAGATGGTGGACACCCATTAGTATTATTTTCTTTGTGATTATTATCTTTGAAAGAACTTCTATCTGAGATTATCTCACGATAAAACACTATTATTATTTTCTCGTCTTCCATGTTTTCGTTTTCTCATCGGTAATGTTGAGATGCTCGTCTTTTTTCACTTTTTAACCTAATAGGTACCTTCAACTATAACTAAATTTTTAATTTAAGGTTATCTCACATTTCCTAAAGTGTGACGTTGACTGAAACTAATGTCGAAAATAACGGTTTTTCTCAAAGATGAAAAATAAAATCGTGATAAGAATTTTGAAAACATTACGGGAACAAAAACTCAGAATCGAGGAAAATTAGTTTCCACAAGATACTAATTAAATATCTCAATAGGCTAGATCGAAGCCGGCTTTAGTCGAACCCAGGTTCAAATGATGTTTTGTGCTTCTACTATCTTTTTTTTTTTGCAAATGTCGTGTAATTCTTCCATTGACTAATAGAGTTCTTCAATGAACAGCAAATATATGAAATAAAACAAATGAAAAAAGATAACATTGTTATCATCTTAAAAATCTTTCTTTATATTTCACAAAATATCCTTGCTTAGCTCTCCGCTTACATCAACAACTACAACATCATCATCACTTACTTCTTCTAATTACCATTGTACTCCGATTGATGTTTCTCAATCATAAACTTTTCTTAACGATTTTTCTCCGACCATCAGTACTGATTGACCATCACATAATAAACAGTAAAAATCCGAATAAATCAAATTTCTTTTGACACAACAACTATCGATATATGCTGTTATTAAAAACAAAAACGCAAACACATCTTTATCTTGGAAAGCTCTTGGTTTCTCACCAAAAGAACCAATGAATACGAATGCTCACAATATGCTTGGGCATTCATGTGTTGAAAATTTGTCCGATTCAATTATATGAGTGGCCTATTTTTCAAGAAAAAACCATGAGATGAACCAGATCAAAGGTTGAAAGCTCATGGGCCCGCTTTCATCGGTTTCAGCCCAACCTATTAAGACCTCTGGTGTGTCTCAAAAGTTTTAATTGAGTGTTTTCATACTGATATGTACAAGCCGGTCACCAGATATTTTCCTACGTTATACCTTTGAATGATAGTGTCAATCTGATCTTCATCGAATGTTATCATCATGCCAATATGATATACAATATATAGATGCATTAGAATCTCATAAAATACTTCTCGGTATTCTAATGTTCTCATTAATTCGTAGTCTTCTTATTTGTTACATACATACGTATTATATTCTCTATTCAACTAATTCATGCAAAGAATTTTTCGTAGTTCACATTTCAACATATAATACTTTCATTATGAGACAAAAACAATCTAATTGAGCTTGTTGTTAAAGAAAACAAAGCCAACATTATATTATGTATTATGAATCATTTGAAATCCAACCAATACAAATTTTTATTCAATTTCAACACTATTTATTGATATTTAGTTGTTTTGTTTAGATGCTTGAAAGGAAAGTACTGAAGAGGTGCTCAGCTGTGTTTCGATTCACTCACATCTCATACAATAATGTATATCAAGATAAGAAAAATTCTGAAATGGTTCGAGCTTATTGACTACTATCGAAGAGCTGTGCCCATTTTACTGAAATGTTATCTATAGATGGTCCTGAATATTTTAACGAAAAAGAACATACCTTTCTCGAGGTATTTGATTTCCTGAGAAAAACAGCGATTTATGATTGGAGAATACAATAATCCAGTCTATTTGAAAGTTGGATATCTCGAGAAAGATATGTCGTTTTTTATTGAAACTTTTAGGACCATCTTATGACTATTCAATCTATCTATGGGCAAAAATTCAGACCAAAACTCTTTGTTCTGTTTTTTACAGAAATGTTTGGTTATCAGTGAAACGGTCATAGCTCTTCGATAGTAGACCACGGGTTCGAGCCCTTTTAAATGTGGTCTTACCTTAATATGCATTCCTATGTATGCGGCATGAATGAATCGAAATGAAACTGAGAGACTCAAGTACCTCTCTCATTAGTACTTCTTTAAAATCTTGTGGCATCAAATTGATAAATTAGTTTTATTTAAATAAACATATATCGATTTTAAAAAACATTAAAAATACATAAAAATTTGTACATATTCTCAATGAGAAGTTACTGTCTTCATCATTGCCGTTTTCTCGAAATAATAACACATAACCAGTTCAGAGAAAACAAATCATAAAACTACCCTCGTACCGTACTAAACAATACTGTAACCGGAGGCAACACCAGTAATGTAAGCAGCTTCTACATAAGGCTGTGTTATATTTTCTTTTATATTTACTCCGGTGATTGCCGTAATAGATTTAACAACATAGATTTTATTTGTATTACTGCTATCTTGCATACCAATAGCTAAAAACTGGCCGAGCTCTATGGGCAATATACGTGAAGGAATTTCAAAGGTTTGCCATTGTGTAGTATATTTTTGAGGCTTGATGCCATAGCGATGTTTAATTGCATAGCCAGTAAGGAATCCCGATATGATAAATACGTAGAGTGATGCAGTCCCTTCCCAATTAGTAAAAAGACGAAAACTAACGCTACTAACGTAACCGGTCCTCCGACAAACATGATCAACATTAAAATAAAACTTATTGCCAAGTTGAAGACTATAGGTTTCATATTGTATAGGTTCTTGAGGAAAATAATTAGTATCTGGAGTGAAAAAAATTTATAATTATATTCAGACTCCTTTTTACAGAGATAAAAGTTAATAACTTACACATTGCTGGCTGATTCGCAATTGTCGTCGACAGAATAAATTGTATAGAACTCGTTAGAGGTAGCTTTGCAGTTGTCATATCTAATGAAGTGTTAGATGTCATGAAAGTAATATTATCTATTCAAACGAAAATAAAAAATTAAGTTCTCATTGTCAATCCATCATATTTTTTTTTCACTACTTGTTGTTTCGTTCATTTGGCCTTTATTTCGATTAGAAGCTATAAAAATATAATGTCACTATTTGTTTAGAAGGTTAATTTCTTATTATTAAAAATAGACTTACAACGTTTTGATAAGATTATGGTTAAGTTAATATATAATCCAAGACAAATCAAGCCCAATATCACTCCTGAAATGATCAATTGTTGATCTCGATCACCACTATATGATGAATAGAGAAAATACGTTATAAAAAAATGTCAATCTAATAATAAGTATACCTGGTTCTAACTAGATATCNAAGTACCTAGAACAATAAAATAAGTTTTTGTTTTAACTATAGTTTCGTAACAAACTTTTCATCGATGTACGTAAATGGATATAAGATTAAATCTTGCAAATTCTATTTATCGAAAATTCATCAATAACATTCTGTGACTCATTAGATTAACTTGAATTGCATATGTTTTAAATATGCTATTTTTCTCATCTATGCATTATGAACATAAGTCTTAATTTTATCCTATCATGAATTTGAAAATAGATAAAAAGTTAAACGTAAATTTTCTCTTAATTATAATTTGAATTTAAAATGAAAATTGATGCAAGTATTTAGTGAATAGGTTGTGGAATAATAAATAGGATGCAAAATATTGTTCATTAGTTTAATTTTATTTTTTTAAAGTATAAATATAAAGCTTGTTTCAATTTAACATTTGGTATTAATTAACATTTTCATGGTTTTTTCTGTGAAACTATCTTTCAAGCAGAGATTGGATAGTTTCGGATGTTTCGAAATTCGAATCGAACAAAACTAAAAAGAGAAAAATGTTTTAGCTTTCAGGATTCTCACCCGAAAATCGGTGAAGACTGAAGCTAAAATGATTTAAACATTTTATAAATCATAAAAAATACTTTCCAATGCTCAAAACTGAAGTGTTTTTCTTGGAAACCGATTTAAGTATCAGTAATCGAAAAAAGGAATCTAACAGAAGGCTAATCTGGAATATGCATCCGTTTGAACATAACAACATTCATAAGATCTTCTATTATAAGGCGTAGGGGGAGATCATGATGTATATCAATAAATAAATCTATATGTTTGTCATTTATTATTCACCGTCATTTTATTCATGTTAATTAGGAAAGTATATTCATGTTTTATGAACTTTGATCTAATAGATCATTAAGTAAATAATTTCCTCTTTAAGAATATGTTTGATCTGATAGGATTTCGTTTTTCTGAAATGAAGAAGAACAAGAAAATATATGAATATTTTCATTGTTACTAATGACATATTTTGTGAAACCAAGGGCAACAGGCGTCAGACTTCTTCCTCAAAGCTTCTTAGCAATGAAAAAGATGCTAGACTGCATTAACAACAAGATTTAGAGTGTTTTAGAATATCTCAAAATCTTTATCAGAATTACAACTATTGCAAAACGTTTATCAATGCACTAAACAGGGCTGTTATTCATTTTTGCGCAGATAAAAATTAATATACAAGATGTCAAAGATGATGAGTAGTGATGTGTTGATTTCCCACAATGATCATAATAATAATGCTAGATTAAGAAAAATGAAAAATAAAAAGCAAAAATCAGTAAGACAAATAACAAATAGAGCGCAAATTGAAAAAATTCTGTTCAAAAATACAGAAATAAATAAATCAGATCGTTTCTCTGTGGATCGATTATTCTTAGAGAACAACTATAGTCTACGAGAGATTTTTCACTTGACGTATTTTTTAGTAGTACAATCAGGCAAAACAACACGTTATAAGTTTCATATTTTAGCTCTAAAAGGGTTGCACTGACAAGTTTCTTTTTTTATTCACTCATCTTGTTTTACATATAAAAATATTGATTTAAACTGCATTAATTTGACTAAGAATCAAACTGAATCAAGCTGTGCTCGTTTTTACTTACGAATGTATGAAATTACACAGATCGTAGCACCAAAGAGGTCATTAAAGTAATTATAGGAATTAGATGGATAATTCCCATTATGAACTGTAGTCCTATTGTTTAAGAATTGAAAGGAGTAGTCGTCGAAGTATTTTGTAATCGACTGATGTGTTTATCAAATTGTATGAAGGATACAATCTGTAGTTATGACGTATGACTTGATATAAGGAATCAAGAGGTTGTTATCTATAGTTCGGCACCTCTGTTTTGATGTCTCATTCGACTATTTTGATAGTCGAATAACACTTCAATTATTCAACCTATTCATTATGTAAGACAGTATCGAAAACTTTAATCCATGGTAATATAATATTGATAGATCGTATTCTTGTTTTTTCTTTGTTATTGCTATGCGAAAGCCTTTGTTAAAATTTTAATTTAGATAAAAAACATCTTTTGCTATAGTTGAATGATTTGCTTCCATATTTTTCGAAACTTTGATTTACATTCAAAATCGATTTTACCACCTATGTAATCATGAAATGTATTTAGGCCGTATCTAAATGTGCTTTTTTAAATATCAAACAACATCGTTTTAATGTATCTCACGTATAAATAGACTTCATACGCGCTGAACTGTGCATATTCGAACGAGTTACTTGAATAAGACGCATTCAGATTCGTTATGAAACATGTTTGAAGGTGAATACTTTTGTTGTTGTATTTCATTTATAACTGCAAATAATCTTAAGTTGAATGCAATGAAACGTTCTTCATCGAAGACATGCAAATACATGGACTTGTTATTTATGTTCTTTTATGCTCCTGGGGCTTTGAATGCATTTGTTGTCATCAGTGCTACAAGTTTTCTCACCGAAATAAATACGAATAGAACTTGTGATCTTCATGATTTCTTTTTATAATGAAGAATATTAAAATTCAGTTTGCTAGTTGTTGTGTAGAACATATAAGAATAAATGATTATGCATAAAAAAAAATTGTGATCACCTATATCGATCTTTCATTTTCATGAATATGTAAATGTGTATAATGCAAAACTTAAATGGATTTGTTTTTCTCTTCATTTATATTCGGTTTGATGAAGCTTGATGAGCTGATCACAAATATAAAGTTTCTATTTCGATTTAACTGCTGTTAAGCTGAAAAAAAATCTCGAATAACTGAAAATGTACCATTGGTAAACATGAGCTTAAATTTTAATTATATTTTTTTTATTGAACTTGATAAAGTCATTCTATTCTTATAGATTTAGATGTTAATCAGATTTTAAAAATATCTCGCAAAACTTATATGATCCGATGCTATTTCCGAATATACTATACAAAATGTATTTTTCACTATTTTATATGATCTTGTCATCAAATAAGGACAAATTCAATTTTCTCAACAATAAAACAAAACTCAAAATACCTTAAGAAGTACTTTTGTAGTTCAAAATCTGGTGTATTCAAATAAGATAAAACAATTGCTTCTATTTCTTATTACGAGAAAAACACTAGATAGGTTTACAAGGAATATAAACAAATCCGTATTATAAAATATGTTGAATGTATCTATTTTGAAGAGGATTTTTTTAAATCTGATTAACATCTAAATCTATTCAAGTTTTGATGGTGCATTAGAATACAATGACTTTATCAAGTTCGATAAAATAACGCAATTGAAATTTGACAATTTCTGAAAGAAAAGCGAGTTCATATTTATCAATAGTACACTTTCAGTCATTTGAGTCTTTTTCAGCCTAACATTAGTTGAATTAAAATAAAAACTATACATTTGCAAGCTCAATTAGCATGTAAAATATACATACATCAACGTGTTATCTGCTTTTGACATGTATAGAATATTTATTTACTAACAATATTGGAACTTTATAATTTTAGTTCATATCAATACTATTTATTTTATGAAATCAATTTTGTCCTTGCACAAAGTATCCATTAGATTGTAGCAATTTAACTTTTAAAATACTCTACATTTAAAGGTAAAGTTAAAGTAAAAAAAGTTTTTAAACTAAGGAAGAGCTCGAATGATCAAGTGAAACTAAGCTTAAGATTTTTATAAACAAAACGCTACTTATTAAATTTATTTACTTTAATTTCCATTATCTTCATTAACAAATAAGTTTCATCAAACTCATATGGAACTAAAAATGATCAAGAATCATAATCGAACAAAAAAAAAATTATAAAGCTTACAAAGAGTTAATTAATTTTAACTTTGATTTTTAATTCAAAATTAAAATGCTACATTTGATATACACATTCATCGTTGAATAATTAATTATTTTAAGAAACTTAGTCATATGTAAAAATTTTGATGATCTAATATCAGATTTAACTAAAAAGTCAGAAGCAAAGAAAAACTCTTTCAGACATCCGGAAATTTTGTATTTTAAATGACGAGAAATTCGTTACGATCCGAAGAGAGATCATATGAATGCCTAGTCTGTTCTATGCATCTTCATTTAATATTCTTCTCCATCCGCTATATATTTTTTTCATTTTCTTCTTTCTTAATAAACACTATTTAGTTTCTGATTAAAAAACAAACGCTTGCATCTGTTAAAACGGATATTTTCTTTTTCTAGTTCATCAAAATAAAATATTAACATTCTAAGGTTTACTTACTTTTATATACGTTAATTCCATACAGATAAGATTGATCTTCTTAGATATTTCATAAATGAAGAATATGTATTTAGCAGAAGTACTGACATATCATTTTAATTACTTCATCAGATTAAGTTCGACGTGACAATAGAAGGATTATGTTGACAATGTAGTTCAGTTATACTATGTTATAAGTAACTATAAGCAGCATTCTAGTTATATATAACAAACAGAATCTTCATAATTTCTTCCATCTAAGGAAAATTTATCTCACACTTCACATATTGATTAAATCCTAATTAGATGTTTACTGATCGGTTAGAATTATCTGTTATACCAATAATTCCTAGGACATGCTCCCAAATGTTTATATAATA